AATTTTAATTTTTTCTTTAATAAAAATTTATCACTTATAAACAATAAAAAAAAAAAATCCAACAAACTACAACAAATAGTCCCTGAAACATGTCATTGTCGATTGCATAAGCACTTAGAAACTGTTTATAAAAGAATTGCAAGCGATTAAATATCTTTTTTGATCCTTCTACCTTAAAAAAAAAGGATTTTTTTAGTTTTTACATTGAATTTTTTTTTAATCCTTAAATTTTAAAATTTGATTCTTTTTTAATCCCTCATTAAATTTTGGTTGATATAGCAGATTAATTAACTAAAAATTTTATTTTTTTTTCTTAAATTCCGTAAAAAATCCATCTTGAAAAAGTTGACGACATGTATTAAACTTTTTATTTTTAATTATCGATTTACCCCTTCTTCACCATCCTCTCCTTCCTTCAGCCTTTTTTTCCTATTTTTTGTTACATCCAGGCGAACCCAGAAGCTTGGGTTCGTCGCGATGAACCCAACTCTTGGATTCGTCGTGAACCCAAGAGCCTGGGTTCATCGCGAACCCACAAGCTGGGTTCACAATGAAGTCACAAGTTGGGTTCACGACGAACCCATGAGCCTAGGTTCGCCATCTTGATCCCACAAGCTGGGTTCATCGCGAACCCAGGCTAGGTTCATCACGATGAACCCTGCTTGTGGGTTCGCAACGAACCCAAGAGCGTGGGTTCACAACGAACCTAGGAGCTAGGTTCGTTGTGAACCCAAGCTCTTGGGTTCGAGACATGGTCCTCTTGTGGTAATTTGCAGTACTTTAAGCACGGAAAAATGTTAGTTGGTAAGATTGGATTGATTTGGTTTAATGATTCTGTGATCAATTGAACACCATGACTTGGGTTAATTAACTGTTTTTAATAGTTTCTTCCAAGAATAAAGTTGAATGTGTTTTGTTGATTCATGAGATGAGTTTTAGTCCTTTTGGTTGAACAAATCCATTACTTGTGAGTACGTGACGAACCCAACTCCTAGGTTTGATTGGAGGTAAAAAAAAAAAAAAGAAAGAAAGAAAGCTGGAGGAAAGAAAGGATAGAGAAGAAGATGAGGGTAAATTGATAATTAAAGACAAAAAATTTTGTCATATCATCCAGTTTTGCGATTTTCACATAATTTAAGTAAAAAAATATATAAAATTTTTCGTTAATTAATTTATTACATCAATTAAAATTTAACAAAGAAATTAAAAAGAGATCAAATTTTAAAATTTTAAAATAAAAAAAAATTTAGTATAAAAGCTAAAGAGAGCTTTTTCTATATTAGAGAGATAAAAAATGATATTTAACTGAAGGTTTTATTCAAAAAAAGAGTTGAAGGAAGCATGGAGGGTAATCTGGCTGACAACAATTTGGACATTATGGGTATGGAGAAATCAGAAGGTTTTTGGGAAAGACCAAGATAGTGAAGAGGAGGTTGGTGAGCTCATAAAGCATAGATCCTTTTACTGGTTAAAAGCCAATTTATATCCAAATTTACATCAGGATTTATGGAAAGATGACCCCAGATTAGCAAAAAAAAAGACATGCTGAACACGAGATTCTAAATGAGAAGGTGTGATCTTTAAAATTATGTAAGATGTTATATGGTAAAGGAGAGGCAGCACTCTTATGTTTGCTGAAATGTAAATTGGTTTGGATACCCTTTGTATTCAAGAAATAAATTTTTAGCTTATCAAAAAACAAAAATGGTATTTAACCGGCAAAGTAATAATCCAATAAAAACAAAAATCAGGCAGCAAATTAGAATCTAAAAAGAAATTAAAGCCAAAAACAAGAATAGTTTAGTAAACCTAACCTAGTTTAGTCAAGTATTTTGGAGTTTTGTAAACTTAGTTTAGTAAAAGATCCTGAATTTAAATGGTATGATATATGGGTGAGATGAGATAAATGATGAAAGATGATTATTTTTTATTATGTAACTAAGACAAAAATAAAATATTAACCAGACCGAAGAAAACCAATTATAATTAATTAATTTTGGACTTTTCTCGTGGTAACCATTTTCTCCCACTCATTTTTTCCAAGGTCTCAACGACCCAGGGAAGGTGACATGCAGGTTATAAAAGAGTGGTCCAGGAGGATAATTTTATTGTTTTATTTTTTTATATAATTTTTACATATTATTAAATAAATAAATATATTTAATGTCTTATATTTCATATAAATTAAAAAAATTAATCATTTCAATATTACATTAAATTATAAAAAAATTATACAAAAATTATTTCTCATTTATAAAACCATCGCTTATAATTTTAGGTAATTTTAGATTTTCTCCAATATCAAACTTTTTCTCTCACACGGACGTGTACACGCTGACGCAGGGAAGGTGTTGCCACTCTCTACACATCTATTATAATTTTATGAAATTTTTTAATATGTCTTTAAAATAAATATTAAAATTTATTTATTATAATATTTATAATTAATTTTATATAAAATTTATGTAAATTTAATTAAAAATATTTTAATTAATTAATTTTAACAAATAAACTCTTAATAATAATAATAATAATATTATTATTATTTTGCTTTGGTGTTAAATATTTATATGAGGGGGAGGAAGCAGGTGGAAATGGAAACAAAACGGTTCCAAAAAGATTCGAAACCCAAATATCGAGGTACACTTCCTAGAGGCAGGGGGAAAATCATTGCCTATGGTAATAAATTATAAATAACGATGAAATAAATACAAATCCTTATGTTTTGTTTAGTTTTAGAAAAATAAACATTAATATTTATAATTTGTTTGGTT